TAGATATATAGTTATATTCTCTTAATGAATAGAGGGATTCATTCTAATAATGTTTGTAAATAGAATATCATGTCCGCATCTTGTACAGCAATTAACCACTAGGAAGAATGTATGCAATGTGTTAATTATTGAAACTGTCCTACCAATTTGGTTTGAAAAAAAAAAATTCTCACGTAGGCCTTCTAGAGTTCCTTGAGTTGCTTCTTGAAGAATAAATATGATTTTTTAAAAGCAAAAAAAAAAAAGTCACAGGAGCAGGGGCTAGGGTGGAGCAGCCTAACTACAAGAGCCTGGGCTCCATCCCCAAAGTGGATAGAGGTGGATAGATAAGAAATATGTAGAGAACTAGGAAGAATGTATGCAATGTGTTAACTATTGACTGTCCTACCAATTTAATTTGAAACTGTCTCATTGCTATTTGTTTATCAATAAAATTATAGAAAAAAATAAAGAATTAAGAAAAAAATAAAAAATAAAAATAAATATGTAGAGAAAAAGTCTTGGGCAGCATTTGAAGTTGAATAGCTAGGGACTAAATGAGGTCAACCTAAAGGGAAAATCATTTTGAAGTGAACAGCTCTTTGGCCCTAGGTGAGCCAAACACAAAAGTTTATAGCTTTTAGCAGTTTGCTATCACAAAGAGGACAAAAAAGTGACAGTAAGGGAAAGTGAAAAAATGACAGTGCTGTCTTTTTTGGAAGAAAATTTCTGTAGCAATGAAAAGAATTTGAATGAAAAAGAACACATTTAAATTGAAAAGAAAGCACTGAGGTGTTTGATGACAAGTTTGAATTTTATATGAAAGCTATGAAACAATCAGGTATTGACTGTCTCTAATTTATACAGTTATGTATGTGACATACAGCTTAAAGAATTGTATCAATAATAACGACTGCTGGTGTGTTCTCTTCTAATGTCGCCCCTTTATTCCTTCAGGCCCTGACTACAAAGGCATAGCCATCACGTTTGCCGTGCTCAGCAGCATAGCTCTTGTCAGTGGACTGATTTGGCTCCTCTTCCGAAGAAAACGATTCCAAAGGGCAGGCTCCTCATCAGTTCGGTATGAACAAGGAATGGATGAAGATGAGATCGTGTTTCCTTTTTTCCGTGACTAAATTCTCCTAAAAGTTTGCTTATTTGCACTAATGTACTAGGGAAAATGAGACACTTAAAATTTTCCCAATGTCAGTATTTACTGTGTCTCAAAGTGGGAGTCTAAATACTTCTTCAGTTGGCTTCTTCCTGTGCTGATCTACACAATTGTTTACTACATGCCATGTTTATAACTCTATTTACTATAGGGGAATGGACTAGAAGCTAGAATTGAAGTCTAAATTGTTTATAGGTAATATGTTCAATTAATGTGACTTGCTCTATAAAAATGTGGTGGTAAGTAGGATGTGTATATGTTTTAATGTTTTTAACACAACTTGGAAAATTTAAACTGTCATACTACTAGAATACACATTTATCTTTTTAAGAGCATTTGGCCAAATGTAAAATTAGTATCTCTAGGTAGAAAGCCTAACTGTAAGTAATAGCAACATTACTTCACAATAGTCATTTGTAGTATTTGGGAAAGATTATTAAAACAATGTAATTTGTTTACCTTTTACACAGCAAAATGATGCCTCTTGGCCAGATGCTTCTTATACTACTACTCCAAAGATATTTTATATCAATGCTATTTAAATGTATATGCTTTTATTCAGAAATAGCTTTAAGATTTAGTACTAAAGACTTTCTAAAATGTGAGAACATTATTGTTAGATTGATTGGATACCCTGTAGAAATGTATTTTGTGCTTCTTGATTTAAAACACATGACTATTTAAAGGGAATCAACGAGGGATGCAACTATTTGAAAGTTTTATACTTTATATCTTTCAAATAGCACGTCAACTTTTTTTTTTTTGCATTGGTGATTAAACCCTGGGCCTCACTCATGCTAAGTACACACTCTACTACTGAGCTACCACCTGAGCTTTTTTATTTTTTAATGAGACCAGATCTTGCTAAATTGCCAGTCTGACCTCAAACATGTAATCCACCTGTCTCAGCTTCCCCAGTACTTGGGGTTACAAGGGTGTCACACCATATACAGTCAACATGTTAACCTGAATTTTTAAAATTCATTTATCACCTTTTTATAAGACATAACTGGAGAAAGTATCTATGAAAGAAGTTGTATAAATTGCATTTGTAAAAAGGAGAGAATTTTACAGTGAAACTGTGAGATTACCACTAACATATGTAAGATTTCATAGTTAATACTTTCAATGTTATCACCTAGAATATGTTCTTAATACTAGTTTTACTAGTCATAGTGAATGTTTTATTGAGTTTTTAACTTATAGTTTATTTTTGTATGAAATCCATAGATTTAAATTTAGAGCATTCAAACTATCATAATGTTGTAAATAATTTTTAAAGACAATTTTAATGCAGTTGCCTTAAAATAGTTTATTGAAGCAGCTTTAATATTTACTTCATTTGACTGGTGATCTGTAGAATTTCAGTCAATAAGTTTTCCTCTAAAAAAAAGCACAACTGTAATAGTGGTGAGGCATAATAAAATTGTCATTTTTACCTTTAGGTAAATGTATTGGAGTTGATCTTTGTTGAATAAAAGCACCTTTAGATTGAGCTTTATTATGTTACATGTATAGTATGATGAGTACATAGTGTCTTGCTATTCAAAATTTTATGGGCACTTTTAAAACAATAAACGAAATCATTCCTGTCTCCCTGGATGTTGGGTTTTATTTTCCTGTTTAGACTCCTTTTGTTCAGTGGTTCTCTATCAGAATAGACGATCTATCTATGCTCCATTTATTTCTCATTCTTCCCTTCCCTTTGAAATCCTGTCCACCTCCTCTTCTTTGAGTCATCTGTAAGCTCAGAGTGCCAGGTTCATATTTCCACCTATCCATTGATCATGTTCACAGAAGTCTTTTGCAACATGTCCAGAACTTTCCCAATCATTTCCCCTCCTCATTTCTCTGTTCTAGAACTAATCACAGTTAATTCTAGTCTTCCCATTAAGCCAAGCTCTGTAAGGCTTGAACAAGTTTATCTCTTGAAACTAGATACCTAAAAATAAGTAAATCAACTAGATTAGATATGGAGACAGATATAGAAGTGGTACCAATAATTGCTACCTTCTCTTTCCCCTACTCACCAGTCCCCAGCATGTTTCCTTCCCTGATCCTAGGGCAAGGTATTTTTATTACCTGCAAATTTAGTAACCCCCATTCTTATTCCATAGCTGACATTTTTCTGAACAAAGTCAGAGATTCAGATTCCTTCATTTAGATCTTAAGCTCCTTTAATCCTAAAAACATTTTGGAAATACAAAGACTTATTAGTTTTTAATTAGTCCAACAATTTTATCTTCCTTAAGATGAATCTTAACTAGTTCTGTCTCATCGCTATTTGTTTCTCAATAAAATTATTTTGTAAAAATTAAAATTAAAAAAATAAAATAAAATAAAACTAGTTCTCAAATAGTCAAAAAGAAAAAAAAAAAAAAACTAAAACTCATGATTTGTACAGATGTCTCTAAACTCCAGGACATTCTATTAAAACATCGTTACTATATCTATGTTTCAACAAATTTGATATACATATATTTTGCTTTTTCCTCCCCAAACTAAATACATTTGGCACCTGAGAAACTTCTATTCCCACAACCAGTTTTTTTAAAAATCTTCTCTTTCAAGTAACATGAAGAAAACATAATCTCTGCTCCATGCTAGAAACCCAGATGTTATCCTCAGATCCTCTCTCCCATCTCTAATCCAACAACTCTCTCACTTTTACCTCACACTTCTCACGAGGTAGCCTATTTCCAACTGCCAGCTGTACTGTTTTGAGTCTTTACCCTTTTCCTCCTTGGATGTTTGGCATCTGCCTCTTTTAAGTTATCTGGGCCTAACTGACTAAGGCCAAACAATTGCTCAGCAATGCTAACTCCAGGGCCCTTTCCCAGGGACATGTGTGCTGGGGAGCAATGTGGAAAAATCCTGGGTTTCCTACCCTGAAATCAAATAAAACTGTACTCTTAAAAATTAGGAAACCATTGGTGATTTTACCCAATGAAAAGTCAGCAAAAGGAGGAATGCTTAATCCAGAAGAGAGTGAGCTGAAAAGTTAAACTTAGAAATGGGAAACATGTTATTTTGAGAAGTATGGTGGATATGGGAGTCAGGACATATTTTTGAGAATCATGGTGGATATATAGGGAGAGAAAGAGAATCACTGATGGAAGACTACCTTGAAGAAGATGAAATAATAAGGGTTTTTTGAAGACCACAAAAAGGGGAATTAGGCTTGAGTGGAATGAGGAAGCATGCATACTTCTCTGAGGCTGAAGAGGAAGACTTGGAAGAGAGATATTTATTTCTTATGGCCCCTGCTAAGGTTGAGATCAAGAATGTTCCCCAAAGGAAAATTCAGAAGTGGGGGTTTTAGAAGGTGACTGAATCATGTTAGAGCTTTATTCCTTGGTAGGTTAATCTACTGACAAATTCAGAACTAAAATGTGCTGTTGGGAGTGAGCCTATAATAGGAGGCAGATCACCCTGGGCATGACCTGGAAGGATGTTGTCTCCCATCCTGGCTTCTCTTTTCTTTCTGCTTCCAGACAACATGACAGGAACAGCTTCCTCTCTCCAAGCTCTTCTGCCATTCTTTTTCTGTACTTAAGCCTGTAGAACATTAACTGAAATTTCTGAAACTATGGGCCAAAGTAAACCCCTCTTTTTTAAAGTTACAGATGTCAGATGTTCTGTCCCAGGGATGAGGAGAGTGACTAAGACAGCCCACATTTTCCTGATTAGTAAAAGGTGGTTCTGCTGAGAAAGACAGGGGTAGTACATTAGGTCTTACCATCTAAAGGCTAAGGAAAAACTGAAATTCCAATTAGAAGAATCAGGGAAGGTGATGACCAAGGCAAAATAAAATTTTGTAGAAGAGGCATATAGGACCCAGTGAAACTCAAATCTATTTATTTGGAGGGACATCCATCAGAACAATTGATGATTTCCTCTTCTTGTCCTCAGCTATGTCAGTAAAACTGAGAAAAGGAACTTGTGAAGAAGAAAGTGACCTGAATCTCAGTATCACCCAGGGAGGGCAGGGCCCAGGCTGGATACAGAAGGGAGAAATGAAAGGCTATAGAGATGCAATCAAGGAACTGGAGTCCGCAACACCACCAAACAAATAATTTGAAATGAGAAAAAAATTAAAGGTGTAATGTATGATTGGAGCCCAACATGTTATAATGAGAGATTTCAGTAAAATACTGCATCCCACAAGTGATAAGTAGTTCATTTTGTCATCTTAGCATACAAATGAGGCAGTGTGCACTAGAGGTTAGGGAAAACTAAACTTTTCCCAATTCAAATGACTTAGAAAAATGCACTACTGGAGTGGTTTTCTTAAATGAGATTAATTCATTACAATGATTCTATTATAAATCTAAAGAATATTTGAAAATTTAGTTTACATCCAGTAAGCCACATTAATAATATATGCTTTAGGGCCTGAGATGGAAGTGGAAAATCTATTCGATTTCACGATTACATAGAAATGTTGATTATACTAGTGTAGATAGGACAAAAGAATCCAGAATCAAGATGTTTCAGTATTTATAAGGTTGCAACTCATAAGTGAAATAAATCAGATCCACATGTATAAATATCATACTGTCTCACTAATGTGAGAAACTGAATGAGTAAATAAGATCCAAAATGTACAAGAGATATTGTGAATTAGAAAGAAACTTCAAAAGAAAAGAGAAACTGTGAGGTGAGAAAAGGAATATATACCTATATATCTATAAATATATAGATATCTTATAGCAGTGAAATTATTCCATATGATACTATAAATGGTGGATACCACTGAATACTTGTCAAAAGCTATAGAATTTGTGATAGTTATACAGCTAGTTTTTCTTAGTTCAGTGAAAAGAAAGGTTTGTATTAATATTGTTTGGATAATGCAATATATTGGCCTATATATTCTGAGTAACTACCATGAAGATAACAATATGCAATGTATTAATTATTATTACTCTCCTATTAGCCTGTTTTGAAAATATTTATGAGGAAAATACATTTGGAAAGGTCTTTTGGTTTAGGTCTACCATATAGATGTATTTATTGATAACTTGAAAAGGAAAATGAAAATAAATAAGTTGAGTAAGACCATGCTTCTTGGACAATGAGGTTGAACATGGAAATGGGAGAGAGTCCAGTGGGAGACCTGGGGTCTGCTTCTTTTTGTGTTTACTGGGTGCCATGGTAAGTCATGACCTTTCTTTGGTCTCTTTTCATATCAGTGTACACAAATGGCCTCCAACACTCTGTGACTCTGCTTATAGACCCCTCCGTCCCTAGATCCTTGCTGTCACCATTCTATTTCAGTCCCGACTATCAGGGCTTGAGAAGTGCTCAAAAGGATTGGCAAGGATTAGACTGGAGACTAATTTTTGAGAAGTTTTAGGATTCCACAAGTTATAGGACTTATGTGCTTGTTTACACACACGCACACACACACACACACACACACACACACACACCATGCATCCTGTGTCCCTATATTAACATCTTCTCTTAGGGTGCTACATGTGTTACATTCAATAACCCAACAGTGATACATTGTTATTAACTGTAGTCCACCGCTTATATTGAGGTTCACTTTTGCTACATAAATTCTACGGCTTTTGACAAATGTGTAGTAATATACCACTTATAGTATCAATAACTTCAGTGCTGTAAAAATCCTGTATTCCACCTATTCATTCTCCCTTTCTTCTTAGCACGCCCTCCTCATCCCAAGCCCCTGGAAACCACTGATTATTTTCCCGTCTTTTTAGTTTTCAAGACATCATATAAGGGCTGGCGAGATAGTTCAGTGCATTAAACTGAACTTCTTAGGCAGATGCAGGGGTCAGAGGTTCGATCCCCAACCTGCTATGCCAGCCCCACACCCAGAACATGCTGGGCATGGTGGCGCTCACCTGTAATCTCAGCACCTAGGAAGCTGAAAACAGTTGAATCACTACAAGTCTGATCTGTGTAGTGAGACCCTGTAGATCTGGCAGGCCCTGCACTGAAAAAAAAAAAAAAAGACAAGACATCATATACCTTTAATCATGTTTAGTCTTTCACACTGGCTTCTGTCACTTCACAATACACATTTAAGGTTCCCCCATGTATTTTTGTGTCTTATTAGTGCATTTCTTCTTAGCACTGTTTGCTTATCCATCCTTTAAAGGACATACTGGCTGCTTCCAGGTTTTAGCAATTACATATAAGGTTAGTCTGCATACTCGTGCACAGGTGCAACCATGTATGTCTGAGTGTGTACATGCAAGTTTGAAATTCATTTAGATAAATACCAAGGTACACAATTGTTGGATTGTGGACAAGAGTGTCTTCCAAGCTGGCTTCCACAATGCTGTACCACTTTGTGTTCCCACCCCGATGAGTGAGAACACTTGTTGCTGCACACCTTCGCTGACAATTATTGTCAGTGTTCTGGGTTTCAGCCATTCTAACAGTTGTATAGTGGTATTTAATTTTTGTTTATTTGTCAATTTTCTAATAACAAAAGTAGCTGTATTTCCATTCACAAAGTTGGAGATGAGTGGTGGGTAAGCAAGCAGTTTCATATTTATAACTCTATCCCCACCACTCACCTCCTTTTTATGTTATAGAAATAAAATGCACAATAAATATAACGTGCCTTAATCATGCTTAAAACCATCCACTCCCACTCTCACCCCAGTTTGTTGAAAAATTATCTTCCATAAAACTGTGCCTGGTGTCAAAAACGTTGAGGACTGCTGATCCATAGATGTTCTTTGATGAGATGTGTCAGCTCAAACTACCTAGTTTTTAATTAGGTTTGTTTTCACTTTGAGTTTAGTTTCTGTTTTTTCAGTATTGGGAATTGAATGTTGGTTCTTTGTCCAGAGCTGCATCCTCAGTCCTCTTCATTTTTAAAAAAATTTTTGAGACAGGATCTCGTTAGGATCAAATGCCCAGGCTGGGCTCAAACTTGCCATACTCCTGCCTCAGTCTCCCAGAACTCTGGGATTATACCATGTGCTACCAAGCCCAGTTTAGGTTTCATTTCTCAGGGTTCTTTGGGCAATGATATGAGGCTTAACCACAGAGTCCTGCTTGGCCCTCTTTAATGCTGTCCGGTTCCAGAGGACCTCATGGCCAGCTGTTGATCTTGACACAAGACTTGACAACAGAGAAAAGTTTTCTGATGACAGAAGTTTTCTAAGAGACTTAGTCCTTTTGGAGGCTCATGAAAAGGAGATTTATGGCCAATTCCAAGAGTAATCTGGCAAATACCACCCTAACCAAGTGATCTAAGTTAACATCTCAGTGATAAGATATTGCCAGTGTGTCCCTCTTGTGTGGCATTGAGCCTCTGGGACTCCTGCAAAACACACAACCTGAATCCAATCAGGAGGAAACTGAGGGACATGCTACAGAACAAGTGATCAGGACTCTTCCAACAGTCATGACAACCAAAGAAGGACAGAGGATTACCCTAAATTAAAGGAATCTAAAGAGATATGACATGTCAGGGTGATTATGGTCCTGCACTGGTTGCCAGAACAAAAGGGGCTGGAGGGACAATTGACGAAATTTAATTTCCTGTTTTTGATCCTTGTTACTGAAATTATGTAAGACGTAAATATTTAGAGAAGTTAGATGAAGGGTTACAGAAATTCTTTGTACTGTTTTTGCAACATTCTCGAAAGTCAGGCTACTTCAGTTCAAATAAAAAGTTAAACAAACAAAAAAAAGACCAGAGGCAGCGCACGCCGCCCCTTGTGCATTGTCTGGACCCTCGGCGCGCACTTCCCGCTTCGCCCCGCCCGGCTAGGGGTGGGAAGGTCTGGCCGAGCGCCGAGCTCGGAGCTCCGAGCTCCACACCCAAAAGCACCGCCCCGGCCGCCCCGAAGTCGCCCGCTGCCCGCAACTCCGGGCTCCTGGCGCCCGCGGCTGCCGTCATGCCCCGGGCAGTGCTGTCCACCCTCCTGCTGCCGCTTCTGGGCCTCACCGCTGCCACTGTCTCAGGTAAGCCCCTTGTCGCGCCCGCCCCTCACCCTGGAAGCCAGGATCCTGGGCTACTTCCTCTATCCCTGCCCAGCACCGACTCCAGACCCTTGCACCCGGGTGGCCCAGAGGGTCTGCACCCGGGCCGGGCATTTTGCCCTTCCACATTGGTCCACCCATTGCTCCCCAGTCTGACCGTCCTGCATCGGCCTCTGTTCAGTGGGATCAGAGAGGGCACCCTTGGGGTAGGGACAAGAGACCCTCTCCACCTCTATCTCCATATCCTCAGGGGCTGACTGGCCAGAGAACAGAGGAATTGGGGTCCCTGGGCGGATGTACTTTGAGAGGCACAGGGGGCAGCTGAGAATTTCCCCACGGTACACATCCAGGGTGGGCGGTGCAGGGAGGGGGCGGAGAGGTGCAAGAAAGAAGCCGGCCCCTCTTTTGCAAGCTCTGCTGTTTGTCCAGTTGGTTGTTGTTCAAGCTGTTGAATCAGGAAGTTCAGCCAAATAACCCTTGGATTGAAAAACAATGCGAACAGGCGAAGCTTGGATTCCGGTTAATTGTGTGATTTAAAAAATCTTTGGTCTGCTCTTATGCAAGTAACATTTAAAAATTACACAGGGATGAGTCCTAAGAAAGACAATTCTACTGAACACGTGTTTTTTTCTTGAAACAGCTTTTCCACACAGGCATCTCAAAAACATGTTGATGGGGATATTCTGGGGAAGACCCCCATCGAACACTATTCTTAAACAATTCCAGGAATTAAAGAACAAAATAATCAGAACTGAATGAGTATTTGTGTGGGCTTAAATAAAAGGTTTATGCATGACCCCTTTCCCCAACGGTTTCACAGCTTTTTTAAAAAAATAATAATAAATGTCTATTTGAAGCTGCTGACAGTCAAGAATATGTTAAAGCCCTCTGTGTTGGAAGTTGTAGTCCGGTAAGCAGCTCAGTGCTTGCTTTCAAACTGAGAGCTCCTTCCCTGAAAATTTTATGGGCTGGCTTTTATAACCTTCCTTTGCCGCTGGACAGGGAGAAGCAAAATGTTATTTGCACACCGTTTAGAGTGCATGTTAATACAGGCTGGACCAGAAAAAAAAAACCATATATATATATATATATACACGCTTGGAAAAATTTAAAAGAAAATCAGTTTCTAAATTTTGTATCTTTTTTTCAGAGAAACTGGATGGGCATTAGACAAAGGGAGGAATTATATTTGGCTTGGAAATAAGTCAAGAAAAAACTTTGTTAAGATTTTCATGGAACTAGCTGAATAGAAAGATTGTAAAAGAAAGTGCCTTATAGTATTGCAGGAAGTATAATATTGAAAGGGAAATCATTGTTATTGTTCTCTATTATTTAGGAGTTTGTTAGTGAAAGTAATCTTAACTTTAAAAATCACAATGGACAAAACAGTCTAAATTTCAAAACAGTTAAATTTCTGAGTAAGGTTCATAGTTTTCTCTTTAATAAGACATAATACCCAACACCTATAACTTAATGGAAGAAGGGTTTCAATATAAGCCAATATGCTCACATTTCAGGATTTTCAGTCCACTGCATGGTAGAAGGGCATGGCAGAGGAAAAACTGCTGATCATGGTGACCAGGAAACAGGAGAAAGGAAGGAGATGCTGTCTATTTTTCCGGGTCCTGCCCCAGGAAACTGCCTCCCTGGTCCACTAGGTCCACCTCCTAACAGCAAGTTACAATGCCCCAACAGTCCAGTTGTCCTATAAAAACCCTGCCAATGAACCACTGAGGCTCTTGTGGGACATCTAACTATATATAATAGATTCTGTGACAGCCTTTTAAAAATTATGCATTCATACATTTTGCACATAGTAGATGATCAACATGTTCACTGTTTAGTGCCCTCTATAAGAGGCATGGGATGAGGGGATATAAAGATGTTTAGAGTTACATCCTCATGCGGTGGTAATAATGTGGTTGAGTATGTTTCTAAATTTGAATTGATATAACCTTTAATCCTTACTTGAGGTACCCCTACCTTTTCCCCCTAACATCATCTTACTGTTATGGCTTATGTTTAGGTTCACAGGTAGTTTGGGGGAGGTGGCCAGATTAAAAGTATGGGATGACTAGATTAATCTGTTGATTGGTTGAGTATAGTTCTGGGTGTAGATAATGGGAAGGCCCACCCTGAGTTTGAGTGGCATCAAGCAATAGGCATGTAGCCTGAATGGAATAAAAACAGAAAGGGTGTACCACTGCTTGCTCCTTCCTGCCTGACACACCATGAATGATTTCTCCTCTGCTATACTGCCTTGCCTTGGAACTAGCTGACTATAGACTGAAACCTCTATAAGCCATGAGCTAAAATAAATCTTTCCTCCTTTAATCTGTTGGTGTCAGGTTTGTCTGAACAAGAAAGTAACAAAGACACTTACCCTAATATTATCTCTTACTGACCTGGGAACTCTCAACACCTTTGATTCTTCTGCACAGAACACTTCCTACTGGTCCATTCAGATCTAGGTTTATATGCCACCTCTTCAGGCCTTCCTCAAACACCCTGCTTTCTCTCTCACATGTTTTACCTCCTCTCAAGCACTTCTGAGAGCTTAATTGTCTTCTTTCTTGATGCTTTTCTCACTGATGGAAGCTGCATCACAGCAGGAATTTTGCTGTCTTGTACATTTTGTGTCTCTAGTTTAACTTATATTAAAAGGATGAAAAATTGGGACAATGATTTAAAAAATAATTTGCAATTTTTCAAATTGTTATTCTTTGCTATGAACTCATTCATAATTCAAAGCATTCAATTTTCTTGGTTTACCAAAATGCTACCTTTTCTGAGTCTTATGGAATGGATGGTTCAGTTTGATCAGGGGAAATTAGTTCATACTAAATATTAGAATTTTAAAAATCTTGAAACATTTTTCTTGTAAGTTACCAGGAGGTATTATTTGAGGGCATCTTTCATTTAAATATTTGCTTATGGAATCTGAAGACTGAAAATCAGTGTTGCAACAAGGTCATTTTACAGTTTTCCATTGTATATTGGTTTTTCAGGTTCTCTTAGATTTTGAGGGCAGACCTGGAGAAAGAATATATGAGAGTGGTCCAGTGATGTCCAGTGATAAAGCTGCAGGTGAATGCTAGCACACAGCTTCTATGAATAATATTCAGTATCATGACAGCTCCTCTAAGGAGGGAAGAGGGGGAATGAGGTGGAGGTGGACCTCTTGGAAGATAGGTTGGGAAGGGCAATGTAGAGAAGGGCAGGATGTCAGAGTAGCTCCACTGCTTTGAGGTCTTGCAGACCAGAGCACAACCAATGAAGCTCTGCATAAGAGACTTAGAATAGCCAGCTCCTTCCTCCATTTGTAATAAGCACAATAAATATCGCTTCTCTCTCTTTGTTGCCAACACAGCCCTTGTGGAAGGTAAATGACTGCAAATCCTATCATAATGGAAGAAGAGCAAGGACCTTTTTAGTGATAAGGAAGAGAAAAAGGAAATCTTTGGGGTTTTTTTGTGTGACTATACAACAAGCATGTCCCAAGGATCACTTCCTTTTATTCCGTGGCTGATTAATTTTTTTTAAAGCAAACTTATAAAGAAACAGAGAGTTTTATTAGATTTGACTGGTAATGCAAAATGTCCTGTGGATATATTTTCTTCCTTTAGAATATGGTAATTTGGAGCAGATGATCTAACTTTTGGAGTTAAGTACAGCTTTTAAATTTTTCATCAAGCTCCTAAATTTTTGAGCATATTAAATTAATAGTTATAAAATTATAAAATCCCTAAAGAGTCATTTAGGCTTATTAATAACAGCCTATCTTTCAGGACTGCTGTGAAGAAATGAATGTAGAGAGCTTTGTGGGCAGGTTTTTAATTATAATAGGATTACAGAAAATATACTTTAAAGGTATCTTAGCATGAAGATGACTTGAGTTAGCCTTCCTCATGATTATCTAGCCTCCTTTAAACAGTTTTCTTCAAGTATACATGTATTTTGTGTGTGTGTGTGTGTGTGTGTGTAACAGGCATGCACACAAATACTGGCTATGTTCTGCTCCACAGTGTATCTCAAGCAGTGCTTATTCCTGAAGTATACTGTTTGCAGAGGTTCAGTGTTAACTGAAGGTATGGCTAATGCTGAAATGAGCTGAGGGAGAAGCAGTTGAAAGTTTTGGGATATGAATCAGTAATGTTTTCTATTTTTCTGCATACCATCTTTTCTCCATTTGCCACATGATTTAATTCAACAATGATCTTTGAGTAATCATTGCATCATAGTCTTCCCAACTCAGTGGCCTTATGTCTGCTCTTCCGTCTGTCTGACCTCAATATCCACATGACCTTTTCTTTCAACTTCTCCAGATCTTTGTCATCTAGACCTTGTTCTAAAATTGCAACCCTTACCTCTACCCACCCACCCCAATCAGGATCTTGCTTCTGTTTTTCCCCCTCTTCAGTACTTATGGTATTTGTGGTCCCCAGCCTCCAAAACAGCCCCTGAAGATTCTTGTGCTTGGTAGTCATGCTCTTGGGTAGGCTTCTCTCATGGAACAGGGCTGACTTATATAACTGTAATAGTTAATTTTTAGGTGTCAGTTTGACTGGGCTATAGGAGGCTTAGCTGGCTGGTAATGTTGCCTCTGAAAAACATTAGCACTGGAATCAGTAAAACTGTTTCTGTCCATGGGCAGGCATCCGTCATCCAATCTGTTGAGAATCCAGATGGAATACAATAGTTGAGGAAAGTCAAACTCCCTCTCTGCTGGAGCTGACATCCATCTCCTGTATTCCTGGTTGTCAGATTCTCAGACTTAGATGAGGACTTATGCTATCACCCCATCCTGATTTCCATTCTCAGATCTTTAAACTAAGACTAAATTATACCACTGACTGGTTCTCCAGCTTGCAGATGGCAGAACATATATTTATTTGCTGTTTGCACTTCTTTATCTGAGAAACATCTGTTCATTTCTGATGCCCAATTTGGATAGGGCCTTGAATTGAGGGGGGGAATTTTCTAAGTTTTGTTTAATAACTTAATTTTAAAGAGTAACAAAAGAAGGAAAAACAACGAAAAGCAACAGTAACATACAATACATATGCTACAAGTTTTCAAAACAAGAATAGTGAATTAAAAATTATATATATATTGGCAGAACTGGGGATTGAACTCAAGCCCTTGCACTTGCCGGGGAAGTGCTTATTCCACTGAGCCATCTCCCCAGCCCTTTGTATTATATATTTTTACTGTCAAATCTGTTGCTCAGATTAATAGATATAGTTATGTAAGCAGATTAATAGATATAGTTATGTAAGATTGGTCTAAGTTCTTTATATATCCTAAAGATTAGTCCTTTGAGGGATAGCTTCTAAAATTTTTTCCCATTCTGTGGGTTGTCTCTTCACTTTTGGTAGTTTCCTTAGCTGCAAAAGCTTTTTAATTGAATGTGATCTCAGCTGTTCATACTTTGTAGCATTTCCTATTCAGTTGGGGGTTTGTTTATAAAGTCTTTGGCTACATCCGTCTTTAAAGAGTTTTACTTATTCTAGCTTCCAGCATATTGTTTCTGTCTTTAGATTTTTGATCCATTTCAATTTTAGTTTAGTGCATGGTGAGATATATGGGTCTAGGTTCAATTTTTGGTATGTAGTGAACCATTTTTTTTTGCACCATTTATTAAAGACAGCCCAGACAATTTAGCAAGATCCTGTCTTAAAATAAATACATGCACAGGGCAAAGGTCCTGGGCTCAATCCCCAATAAAGAAAGAAAATTAATGTTTATTAATAGCCACACACACAAAGAGTACAATGTGTACAATTTTATTACTATAAGGCCCCAAACAGGCAAAACTAACCTAACGTGCATGTTAGAAGTTAGGACAGTGATTACCTTTGAAAGGGAGTACTGAACAAAAGAGATTAATGTACTGTTTCTTCATTTTGCTGATGATACTGTGGGTGTTTTAAGCAAGTTCACTAAATTATATATTTATGGCTTGTACATTGTATGTTGTATTTCAATAAAAAGTATACTTTTATAAAATATTATAGTAAAGGTGTTAGAATGGGCAGTAAGGCCAATTCAGTTATATTTTAGCACTGAAGAAATTTAGCATGCTTTAAGAAGGAAACAATAAAGTCTTTGAAAATAATGAAAAGAGGATACATTAAACTTTATAAGTGTAAAAAAGGATTCATTTTATGTCTCCCCTATAGTTCAAGAGCTATCTGAGGTGTAGGGATCCAAAAATTAATAAAGCTCAGTTGGTCCCTGTGCAGGGGAGAAGTACCAAGAGTGAATATGGTTGATAAAAGGTAACTATTTTGAGCATTATCCTTGTATAACACATTGTACTATGCAACTTTGCAGCATCTAAATGTTCAAAACAATCCAGTGAGGTAGATATTTTTATTTTCCTGTAAAAACATAAGACATAAAGAAAGCTGCCCAAAGTCTCACTAGGAGATAAAACTCCCAATCTGTCCTGACTTCCAAGACTTGTTCTGGTATTTTATACTGCCAATGGATGGTGGCTTACAAGAGAAAAAATTTTGTGGTGAAATTGCAAGTTAAAGTTGCAATTTGAAATAAATTTGAGTGGTGCTATCTTAGAGAAGATAGACTAGACAGATGGTTTAAATCTCAAAAGATGAGTACCAAACAGTTTGATATCCTGGAAGTGGACTTCATGAAATTTACAGTCTTCCTTTTGAGTGAAGTTCAGACTTCCAAAGATGGCAGCAGAAGTGCTGAGTACTGTTTTTCAGGAAGGGGATCAAAGTGTGTAGTGACGCTGTTGTATATTAAGAAGGCCTGAAAACAAGACACTTAGTTGAGTTTGCACTGGTTATGTTCACTGAGATGGAAGTTGACAGAAATAAATTTCAATCTCAGTAAGTCATTAAATTCAGATCACTCATGTATAAGCTGGTACATGCATCATTCAGTATATCTTGAATAATTTATCTACTAAATATGGTAGCACGAGGCAGGGAAAACTTGTATTTGCATGTTGGGATAATTTTAAGTATGTGGTTCACAGCTTATTGGTCCAGTTGATACATAAGTGATTTGATTTAACAATAACTTATCAAGGTAGAAGTTTCTCTCAATCATCTGAGTAGAAGTTTCTCTCAATCACTGAGTGACAGTGCTATCTAGATATATTAGTCTCATTCTGTTATTTCTAAGGTGTTTCCTTTGGCCACATGAATGTAGGTGGGTAATTCAGAATAGCCAGTGGGAAAGTCTAGTATGAGCACCACACTCCTACCTTTGAGACAAAATCACTATGTGGAACATTTCACTTCTGCTTACTCATCCTTATCAAGAAGGTATCAGAAGAGTGAGAAAGTTCTCTTGGTGACCATGTACTCTGTGTTCTAAGAAGCTAAGGTAAAGTACTGGGAACATGAATAGTCTGCCTTGTTCTGAGCTCAACAAAATCAAGACTGTTGATTTAATTTAGATAAATGTGGCTGACTGCTAAATTCTGGTCTTTGTGGTAGGGCTTGCTCCTATTCCTATTAAAATTGTAATGAATACAGCATTTAAAAGGGACTGGGAGTGGTGGTAGAGTGCTTGCCTAGTGTGTGTGAAGCTTTGCTTGATTTCTAGCACTAAAAAAATATAAGAAATAAAACTGTACATAAAATCTTAAGTGATTTAAAAATAAACCTAAGAAAATATGCAAGTTTAATGCTTTGTGTTCTTTTATTTGCTAGAATTAAATAAAACCCATTCTCTTCATTTTGGCAAGTGAAATCAGCTCATACTTTTTCTTGCAAGGCTAATTCATGACATTTTAGAGCCTAGGTTTAAGGATGTACTCTTTGTAGGCAAGCGCAGGGACTGGGGTTTGGTTCGATCTGTGGCACCACCTGCCAAACTGGCCCCATCCTGGGCATGCTGAGCTAGCCACTGGGTCCGGGCATGGTAGCATATGTCTGTAATTCCAGTGCTGGGAGGCTAAAAACAGGACGACCACAAGTCTGAGCTGCCAAATACCTATTTTTTAGGGTACCTGTACCAAATACCTATTTTTTAAAAAAAAGGATGTACACTTCAATAATGAACAAAGAGATGGTGGTGCCCTTCTCTACCTTACAACAACAGTAGAAAAGATACGGCTGTTTCATAGAACTTATTCAAAGAATGTTTTGATGAGGTATTAAGAATATTGATGAGGGGCCAGAGAGATGGCTCAGTAGGATAGTGCTTCCCTGGCAAACACAAAGGCCCGAGTTCCATCCCCGGTTCCGAAAAACAAAAACAACAACAAAAAAAAGAATATTGATGAGTATCACTCTTATCCTGTGCAATATTAAAATCTGTCTGCATATTCATAATGTAGCCACTTATTCTCTATTCTTAGAGGTGTCACTGGAATAAGAGTTTTACAAAGCTCTTAAGATGTTTGAAAATATTAAATTCTGCAAAGATAACATTCAAAGAGAAGTCTAATTCTGACGGATTGTCTTCTTTGATAGTTTGTTAATAATGCTTTAATAATGTAATAATTCATGTTTGAATTGCAAAATAATCTCAAGACTTGTAACTTTGCTCTGTCAAGTTAGAAGAGAATCATTGGTACATTTCTCTTTTCTCACATATAAAATGGGAAATTTCTATTACAGTGGTTGCTTTCTTATTTTAACGGAGATTTAGCAAGGTAAATTACATATATATGTAAATTTGATAGCTAGTTTCATCTTTAGGAATTCATGGGCATATTCTCAGTTTAACAGTGTTTTTCTTTTGCCACCCAGACTGTCCTTCATCTACCTGGATTCAGTTCCAAGGCAGCTGTTACATTTTTCTTCAAGAAGCCATTAAAGTAGAAGGCATAGAGGATGTCAGAAGTCAGTGTACTGGTCATGGTAAGGAGCTCTCCTCCTCATATTAGTATTTATTAAAAATGGATATCTTATTCACTTTTTTTCTGTATTATTTTTAGGGAAGGGTCTACAGGGTGTTCAGGGTCTCACTACTAGATCAGACTCCTAGTGATTCTCCTGTTTACAGCCTCCCAAGAGCTGGGATTACGGGCTCGTGCCACTACACTCAATCTCTATCACTCAGTGCTCATGGGGGGTGGGGCCAGCACTGCAGGCCCAGGGATCGAACCCCCAGCCCCTGAGCCTGCTTGTAGGCGCTTTAATCTGCTGAGCTATTTGGCCGACCCTGTCTTATCCTTTTTTTTTCCTGGAACTGGGGATTGAACTCAGGCCCTTGTGCTTGCCAGGCAAGTGCTTATTCTACTAAGCCATCTCCCCAGCCCCCAAGAATGGCTCTTATCTTATCCATTTTTAACTAGGTCCTTCAAATTAATGTACAATGTTTACTCTGCCTCACCACCACAGTTGCTGGGCAATAATACTCAAGGGTGACAGAACCTTAGCAACAACATTGCCTGTGCCAGGCACTGTGTTTAAGCACTCTACATGTTACCTGTAAAGCAGCTTACTCTTTAATCAAGAAGAAATTAATTCACTTATCTGTCCAAGGTCACACAGGTAATGACAGGCAGAGCCAGGATTCTGAGTCTCACCAGCTTGCTCACTTTTCCTTGAATCTAGAGTGATCTTTGTGACTTGCTTTGACCAATTAAGTGCAGCCCATCTGACATCTTTGAATATCTGAGGCCAAGACTTTAAGAGGTTAAGCAGATTCTTCAGGAAGCCAAGAGAATAAAGTGATTCAAAAGATGTCAGTTGTGTCAGATGCTCTTAACACATAGAACTGATCACTGGATACAGTACTGTGACTGTCACTCATGATTTGATCATAGAAATCTCTGTAGAGTGTTTGGTACAAAATCTAGACTAAAGTTAAGAAAAAAATATGAAGAAAGAAATTGGGGAAAAACGAGTACAAATAACTTTATCTTTTGCAGAGAATCCAAGAGCCACAGAACAGTAACAAAAGGGGGATAATGGCATATGGAAATAGCAATTATTTTTTAAACGGGCATAAACAGTACTTTCTAAATCCTGGAATATTCTTAGATTTAACTCAACAATTTAAATTTATTTATTTGGTACAGGGTCTCACTATGCAGCTCGGACTCAGTGAACCTCCTGTCTCAGCCTCCCCAGCACTGGGAATGTAGGTGTGCCCCACCATGCCTGCATTTGGGGCTGGCACAGTGCACCCAGGGTTCCAGGACTGGCAAGACACACAGTACTGGGGATCAAACTCAAGTCCTTGTGCTTGCTAGGCAGGCACTTAGACCGCTAAGCTATCTCCCCAGCCCTAACACAAGAATTTAAGAGAGTATAAACTCATTGTATAAACAGGATTCTTAACACAACTTACTGCTTGGCACATAGTGTCTTTGCAAATTACTTTTTGATTTTGGTTTGTTGAAACAGGGTCTCCCTACATAGCTCAGGCTGGCCTTGTACTTGCAATCCTTCTATGTCAGCCTCCCAAATCTTGGGATTATAGGTATGCACCACACAACCCTATCTTCCTTGTATTTCAGTTTAGTAATTTATAACATGCTATGATTATCAATTTATACAAGCAAAATACATACAGATTTCTTAAGACCTAGGATAAACTCTTCAACACTGTTATTCTGCCTAGAAAGTGCTGTTTTACACATGCAGGACACGAAAGAAAGATTATATAAGCCCACAAAGTGTGACTGTGATAATGAAGAAAAAGATAAGAAAGCATTTGCTGGAGCATATACTTTATGTTCTCTGGAAATAGTTTTATAGTATTTTAAATTTATAAATATATTTATAATACTCTAAATTTTAAAAATTTACTTATTTTTAAAATAGGGTTTCACTGTGTGACTTACGCTGGCCTTGAAGTCCTGAGCTCAAGTGACCCTATCTCAGCCTCCTGAGTATCTGATACTAGAGACATGCATCATCATGCCCAGCAAAATGTCATTGAAATTTTAAAAAATGCTTTTTGAGTCAATCTTTGCCTGCATTGCCCTGGCTATTCTCAAACTTGAGTTTTTCTGCCTCAGCTTCCCCAGCAGCTGAGACTGCAGGATCATACCTCCACATCTGGTACATTTTTTTTCTGCAAGTGCTGAGGACTGAACAAGGACTTCACATATGCAAAGCACATATTCCACTATTTAGCTACATAGCCAGGCCTATTTTTTAAAAGGTGTGCTTATATTTGGCTCTTTGGCCTAAAGTACATTGCTTTGGTTTAGACTTTATTTGTGACATTTTTCATCTCAAACTAAAACTACATAGTAAGTTCACATCTTTTTTCAACTGAAATATCTAAGCTGGTGACATGAGAGTCCTCAGTTCTTTAAGGGTACTTTTTGAGAGACTTGAAGGAGAAATTTTAAACTACATATACAAATTTGTTCATTAAATTTGTTTTGTGTCTAAAACCAATGATTTTTTTCTTCAGCTATGCAGCTGAAGTTCAGTATCCAGCATGAAAAAAATTTATTGTCTTATTTTATTTTCTGTTGAACCTAGGGATCACTGAGTTACATTCCCAGCCCTTTTTATTTATTTTCTTGGCAGAACTAGGGATTGAGTTTCAGCCTTTGCACTTGCCAGGGAAGTGCTTATTCTACTGAGCCATCTCCTGGGTCCCCCTTTTTATTTTTAGACTTTGAGCATGTCTCACTAAATTACCCAGATTGTTCTCAAATTTGAAATCCTACGTTGTTTTCTCAAGTGGCTGGGAATTACAAGTGGGCTTTATAGCCAACAGGCTTGGGATCTAATTTGAGTTTTTATAGTTCCTCAAACTTTTTTGTTTTTTAAATGCATTTAGTACAGGGTCTCACTACGTAGATCAGACCCATAGTGATCCTCCTGTTGTTAGCCTCCCAAGTGCTGGGATTATAAGCACGTGCCACCACACCCAGTCTCAATCGCTGTCTCATCATGGTACACTGGAGATTGAACCCCAGTCCCCAAGCCTGCCTAAGCAGGCACTTTAGCCCGCTGATCTATTTTGCCAGCCCTCCTCACACATTTTTAAATAATCCTTGCATTTATTTGGTTATCCTATATAGTTACTACCCCTCTGGAAACATCCATTTCATAGATTAATCAGAAAACTAGCTAAATTTAATCAATTATTTAGGGCTAGGGTAGTGCTTTGTTTCAGACAGCAGGTTAACATGTATTGTGTTTGCTGTGTATGAAGAATAAAAATGATAGGAATATTACCATATTTAAATTTGAAAGAAATCTTTAAAGTCATACAAAAACATATCTTAAACCAATCACTGGGATATAGAAAATAAACTTAGTTTCTGGGCTGCAGAAAGCTGAATTTATACAACTACCAGTCCACTTTGTGCCAACTTAAGTGTGCTTACGTTCTTTCCTTTTGCACATAGTATTCATTGTAAGAAACTAAAACATACTTTGCAACGTTTATATTTTCATTCTTTTCTTTTTGTAATATAAGCTAAAACATTAGCCATAGGGAGAATTAAAGACCCAAATTACATCTCAATAGGTAGCACCACTGGTAAGTGCTTTGTTACAAAAATTGAGCATATCCATTCTTTGGGGACTTTGGCTGTCACTTAAGAAAACGAAAATGTGTCATATTTCCTGGCATAATAATTTAAGTCTATACAGCATTTAATTAGATTACAATGTTAAAAATCATTAAAGTTCCATTGGCTGCCACAAGGTCAGAGAAAAGGATAAAAAGCTCATTTCTAGATTATCAAGCCTAAACTATTAACATAAATATTTCTCTTGAGGATTTTTCTAAAGTGGTATTTTAGTCACATTTCATTGGTAATTACTAGGCTACAACAGATTACAAGTCTACGTGACATTTAGCAAACAGGAGGTCATAGCAGCTGGAGTTGATTTTTAAAGTCATCAGATTTTTTTAAAATGACAAACTCAATAGAACTTCATTGAATTCAAGTACTATTTTATTTAAAATTACTTCCTCATGACGGAATATATGATCATTATAAAAAATCTTTTTTAAAATATGGAACTTTTTTAAAAATTGAAATATTGTGCACCCTAAGGTAACCACTGCTAACATTTTGGTAACTATGCTTTTAGACTCATACTGACTTCCAATACTTCAGTGTCATAAACAACAAATGACAATTATGCCTACTTATAACTTGTTAACATATATTAAATTCATATATTGCTGAACAAGTGATTGATTTTATCTTAATATACACTACTAAGTATTGTTGCAACAAAGACGTACTTAAGGGCTTTTGATTCATCTTGCCAAATTCTCTCTAAAACAGTTACACTAATTTCTACTAAGTAGCTGCTTACTAGTTCCTAGTAGTCTACAAAACTGTTCTACAAATCTGAAAGTCTTTTTATCTTTTTGGTAGTCAGACTGAGTTGTCATACACTTCTTATATTTTTGTGAGTAAACTTGTCTTAATAGTGTAAGATCATTTTTACCTATTAAGTTTTTTTAAATAACAGAATTATACTTGTCCAGTTTCTGATATCCTTCTTTAACAATATGGTATATTTTGATTTTTAGCCCTATTTTTTCTTTACTTCTGTAAATTTACTTATTTTCCAAAAGACCTATATTTAAAAGATGTAAAAATACAATGTAAAACATTGATAATTTTTATATACCGTGTGATTTTCACTGAACATGCTCCCTCCCCCCAAATAATTCAGGAGCTGACATGATAAGCATACATAATGAAGAGGAAAATGATTTTATACTGGATACTTTGAAAAAGCAATGGAAAGGCCCAGATGATATCCTGCTAGGCATGTTTTATGACACAGATGGTAAGTGGTATTTACCTTGTGAGACTTGTGATTCTTTATTTTCCCTGTAGCCTCTAGGTACTGCATTTTCAGTGAGCATCTGTAATGTATCATAGCATTGCCCAGAGGAGATCAATGTTTCACAAATGAGACATGCCCTTGATCCTCTTGTTTGGATTAAAATGTGTTCCTAAGTACTTTTGTAAAATGGCATGGTCATAAAAGTTAATATTACTGACAGTAGTTATAGGATTATTTTTACTTTAAGGTTACATAATATATATTTTTCACTACAGAAACACTGAAATAAACATTTTCAAATGACATGAAATTATTAAGGCTAGTATAAAGATATTAACTTAAAATTTTTGCCCATGACAGCATATTTTTCTCCACAAAAATGATGTTTTAGAATTAATACCTCTTGGACTAATCTTTTCAACAGTTTCACTACATCCCTCCTAATTTTAATGCTACAAAGAAAAAAAAATGTAACAGTATTCACCTCAGTAACTTTCCACACCTGTAATAATTATCATTAACTTTTTAAAATAAATCAATCCTTTTGCTGGACAGGCATACCTCTCATTGCATATTTTTCAAATCTACTAGTGCATGAAGATTGTATCTTGTTTATGGATACATTTAATCTCTTATCATCTTTCAAAACATTTAACAGTATACAAAATGTAAAATGTTACATATTACAAAAATCGTAAGAAAATAGGATGTATGAAAATATTTTTCTTTAGCATTTTTCCTCATTGTTGAGAGGCAGCCTAGTTTATCTTCAATTTGTAACTGTTAGGTGGGTAGAAATATGCCCTGCCAATTACTTTATCTCAGAGAAACTTAAAATATAGTAAGTATAAAAGGTGAGAGCCATGCAGAGGTATGATTTCACTTCTCCAACCACAGTAAGAATAGAGCTGGTACCAACAAGGTCAGGTACAGTGAGCAGCCTTAACGGATGAAACAGGAAATAAAGTGGGCACAGGACACATCTGAAGGCACTACCACGTTGTAAGGCCCCATGGCTCCACATAGACATCTGTGCTACAATGCAGCATCCCTTGAGGCCATATTGAACTTTCTGATCCAATGTGCTGTGAAGTATTGTTGTAGAAATCAAGTTCTAGATTTTGCCTCCTGCCTGGGTGTGCAGCTTATTCATGTAACAGATCACAGTATTTGGATGGCTGCAGTTGGACAGTGAACATGATAAAATCCTTCATCCACATCATAATGTGCTCACATGACCAGTGCTTGTCACAGTACTGGGTACTCTTCACAGAAAATGAGAAAGCCAACAGAGGCACTAAAAACTTGAAGAGAACATCCTTGATTCTGTGGTTGAAATCTCTCACCTTTTAAAATTGTCACAACATTGAAGGATTTTTTTTGGCTCAGGCTGCCGTAAGTGCAGGTCTGGTGCAGTGTATGGAGCTGGGGATCAAAATGCAGTTCCCTGCACCTGAGTTGCCCAAGCAAGCACTTTAAACAACTGAGCTAACCTGCAAGCCCCTGTCATAACATTGAAAATATCCCTTGACAGATGCAAGTTTCAAGTGGTTTGATAATTCAAATATGACATTTGATAACTGGGCAGACCAAGATGAGGATGATCTAGTGGACACCTGTGGTTTTCTGCACACCAAGACAGGTGAATGGAAAAAGGGAAATTGTGAAATTTCTTCTGTGGAAGGAACACTTTGTAAAGCAGCCAGTAAGTATGGACTGAATGTTCTTTTCCATTCTGGGAGGGAAATGGAAACAATTCAAACATTTTTCTGTAAAGATTAGTTTGCCTTGTTAAAAAGAGAAAGACTTCAGAATATAGTAGAGTATTTTGTTCCCAAATCTGTTGTAAATCAATGTGTAATTCTTTTACATTTCAGAGGTTGGGCTAGATCACTTGAATTAGGTATAACTTAATTATCAAGATAACAAAATTTCTTCTCTTTTTCAAAAGAACTGTAACCTGTTGCATGTGATTTGGGAAATAGTGAGAGCAGTTATGTATAATTTCAGAATTTCAGTATTAATTTACAAGGACTTTGATTCTTTGTAAGAGTATCTTTCGTTGAGACAAAAAAAAATTATACGGCAGTAAAAATGTTATCATACTTTATAATATATTGAGACACATTTTTCTCTTGATCCATCTGAATGTATTTTAATGAATAAAATTCTATATATATAGACATATATATGTATTATTTTGTGGTTTAGTACTCATCTTTAATTTTTCAGTCTTCAAAAGATACCATGCCACTTCTGACATAGTATAAGCAGGAGATACATTTTTCTTCTCAGTCTCTGTACTCTTATTGTTATGCATTTTACGTCTACTTATTTTACAAAACTTGAAGTTCGGTATTGACACTGTTGCTTAGATAAGTCAGTTGTCTGTTCTCTCTCTCTCTCTCTCTCTCTCTCTCTCTATATATATATATATATATATATTTTTTTTTTTTTTTTTTTTTTTTTTAAATTTTGCTATACCAGGAATTGAACCCAGTGTTTCCTGCATACTTGGGAAGTACCATACCCTGAACTTCATTCTGAGCCTTTAAAAACTTTTTTAAGATAGTGTCTTAAAGTTATCCACGCTGACCTCAAACTTTCAGTCCGGTGTCAGTGTCCCAAGTAGCTAGGATTAAGGCATATACCATGTCTGGCTTCCACAATACTTTTCTATTATCTGTTAAGCATTGCGTAAAGTTTGTTCTTCTAAATTCTGAACAGTATATCTACTTAATAAAAAAGCAATTTCAAATATAAATATGAATCTGGGACTCATAACACATAACACAAACCACTATTTTTATACTTTTAATCCTTAACAGGATTAAGGATTAATTAAACAATCCTTGTTTAGATTGTTTAAATCTAAACAATATATTTATTTGGATCTGATTTTTTTCATAACATCTAAAATTACATATTTTATACTTTCTACTACAGGGTTCCTAACTGTACATTTTACAGTTATGTAAACACGTCATATTTTTATAGTAGTAGCAAACCAAATTCAAATATCTGACTTTAAAAAAAAATTAGTTTGGGGGAAGGAATATAGCTCAGTGACACAGGGCCTGACTGGCAAATGAAAGGTCCTGAGTTTGATTACCGGTGCAAAAAAAAAAAGTTCACGAACAATTAGCAAATTCACACTAATGAGACAAAGTCAGTTATTTTACTACATTTTCGACATCAGGCTGTCCAACAGAATCTTTATTTTCCTCGTCCCATTATGTTTTTCTTGAGTTTCTTTTTGTTACCAAAAAAGTCTAATACATTTTGCTATGCCTCTGTGTACTTTCAAAACTAAAGTTGGTAGGTATAAGAATATTAAGCCAATGAAGTGTACATCTCTAATAACTGCATTCTATGTCTTATAATAACTATATTTAAAATTTTAATTTTCTTTTGTATTTTAGTCCCATATGACAAGAAATATTTATCAGGTAAGTAACACTGCACTTTTGTTTTTGCCCACATATGAACACTTTTTTTTTTCTTCTTTTGTCTACATGTGAATATTATTAAAATCCTGGCATGCTAATAAAATTCTAATCTAAACCCCTTTTTAAAGTTATGTAAGATTGAACTTTTGCAAGAATGCAATATATTTAGTAGGATTTGGCATTTTCAATATAACCACAAGTTATGCATGAAATGGTTATTTTTTACACCAAATTGTGTTTCCTTACTGAACTCCATTATTTGTGGGCATAGCCCTGCATGTTTTGGACTTTCACCTTATAATTCCACCTTATAATTCCAAGTACAATTCATAAAGCCTAAGGTTTTATTAAACACATTTTTAAAAACAGGTAATGGATGATTCAAAACGAGAACTATGCACTGTCATTATCTCTGCATTAAGCGTCATCTCACCCTCTCAACAGCCTTTTCCCTTATTGGGTACCACTTAGTCTCTTCAACCTCCTAATGTTTCTTTTGTTGATGCTGAGATACATGACTTTATTTTGTTCCTTTAATTTACTAATATAGTTTAGCACCCTCTCTGTAACATATCTTATATAGATCTGTATTTTTTTATAACTCCATGCTTACTCACTAAATGGAGATTATAGGAATGTTTTAACACATACCCACATCCTGTTTCAAACTTCCATTTATTTCCAAACACTTGCTATTATAAACAGTACTGTAATGCATCACTGTGCACAAATACAGGTAAACAGCTTGATTGAAAATGACAGCCTTTATTAATATTTATCTGGTCTACCATTGTACTATTTTGCATTTTCATTAACACATTAGAAACTACTGTATAATTTTTAAAAGTGGTTCAGCCATATTAATATTCCTACTGGCAAGTTTCATTTGCTTCACACTTCACATTAATCCCACAGTGATATTCTCAAATTTACTTTTTGCTACTCTTTATTGTATTTTCATTTCTTTGGTGATGCAAGCACATTTTGATACCTTTTTTTGTGAAATGCTTGTTTTGCTGAGTTTTCCTTTTAAATAGTTCTCCTTTAAAAGAATTTAAAACAGGCTTTTAAAAAAATAAAATTTTGGATGAGTCCTTTGTATCCAAAACCTAATTATTACATAAATATTTTTTCTACTTGGAGCTTGACATGATAAAACTGTGACAGAGAAGGAAAAAACTAAGTGTGTGTGTATACATACATATTATATATATATATATATATATATATATATATATATATATATGAGCTACTCTCATTCTATTAGTAGAAAACATGTAGCATTTTAAGAAGAGCCACATAAGATCCATTAACTAGCTACTGATAAAAAAATACCAACAGTAAGGATGAGAACTCTGTACACTGTACAGAGATATAAACATGTTTGTAGTAGCATTATTTCCAACAGCCCAAAAATGGAAGCAACCCAAGCATCCAACAGACGAATGCTATAGAAACGATGGAATATTACTTGGCCTAAAAAGGGAAAGAAATTTTGACCTAACATGGAGGATGTCAGTGTGATAAAAGCCAATCATAAATAGACAAATATGTAATTACACTTCTGTGATTTTACTTAAAAATGGATAATCACATATAGATAAGAACTACAAACCTTTTAAAGCTTTTGTAACAAACATGATCACTGGTAGGCACTGACTACACATATAATTAGCTAGGTTTACATACGAGACTTGAATAATTGAGGTCAACCATGCAAAGTGTAAGATTATTTAAAAAAATTATGCAATATGAAAAAAAAGAGGGGGCCAGACAAATAGCTCAATGGATTGAAGTGCCTGCAAGCCTGCACAGGGGCTGTGGGTTTGATCCCCAGGCCTGTGGTGCCAGCCCTGCCCTGAAGCATGCTGAGAAGGTGATTGACTGGGCATGGTGGTGCGCACCTGTAATCCCAGCTCTTGGAAAGCTGTAAAAGGTGGATCACTATGAGTCAGACCCACTAGTGAGACCTTCAACACTCTGTAGCCCCTTCCATAAAAAAAAAAAAAAAAAAAAAAAAAAAAAAAAGTGTCAACAAAGTGGAAAAAAGGTCCAAGGTTGTATAACTAGTAGTCTAGATACCTCAGGTTGAATTGAGGTGTCCAGGTATTTATGCTTTTATATAGATAGATAGATAGATAGATAGATAGATAGATAGATAGATAGATATAGATCACTGGTGATCTTTGCCACAGCAGTCAGAAGAAAAGTTGCAAGGATGGTTAGTTTGAGAAAGAACAGTAAAGTGAAGGTTGTGTTTCAAGTAAATTTCCTCAACTTTCTTTTATTAGGCTATGGATGATTTCTCCAGTTCCTGACTACATTTTAAAATGAGGATGAATTGTAGGATAGTAGCAATTATGTGCTCAGTGAAGGAAGCAACAGATTTTCCCCTTTCATTTATTTATTTATTTATTTAAATTTTATTTGTGTGGCCAGCTCAGCCCACCAGGGGGCGGGGCTGGCTGGCACGTGGTGCTGGGGGTTTGAACCGTGGTCCCTGTGCTTTGCTAAGCTTGTTCTAAGTAGGTACTTTAGACCACTGAGCCATCTCACCAGCCCTCCCCTTTCATTTATGAGGCAGATCTAATGCTGAATTATCCTATTATATACATATATTGTATATCATTATACTGAAATAAGTTGTACTGGGATGTGCTTTGTCCAACATTTTAGTAATATGTAGCTAGCCAATAAAAAGCCTTGGTACAACTTGGCCACAGATCACTTAAAGAATGTATAAATAAGCATATATAGGATAAGGGGTCTTTTAATTCTTTATTAAAACTGATGAGTTTACAAATCATTTTAAATTATGCTTTTTCAGACTAAATTTACTTGTTTATTAACTCTGTGGTCATGCAATGAATAAAGTAGATACTGATTATATATTATGACACATTCTTATTAGGTTGAAATAACAAGTGTCCACATGGGTAAAGTCTGGGCTCTATAATGAAATAATGCAGTTTTACTGGAATGCAAAATGCAACATACTACAGTTCTTGCCACTCGTGATACTAACAATAATCTTGAGCGTAGTAAACGTTTACTTCTGTTCTTTTGAACTGTGAGAAACTCTCAAATTGAGATATATGAAACTATGCTTGTGCTTGCCAAAATGCAGTACTTGTAACTTCTACAGCTTTGTTTCCCATATATTCATTCTCTTTTGTGTTTTCAGATAATCACATTTTAGTAACAACTTTGGTGGCTGCTAGCACAGTAATTTTTATGGTTTTGGGCGCGATCATTTGGTTCTTCTACAAAAGACATACGGATTCTGGTTTCACTACAGTTTTTTCAACTACATCCCAATCACCTTTTAACGATGACTGTGTTTTGGTAGCTGGAGAAGAAAGCGAATATGCTGTTCAGTTTGACTGAAGTTTTGGTACTCTCAGGCCAAGACAGCAATTGTCTTGACACTTGATATTGAAACATGATATTAAAACTTGATATTGAATATATTAACTTTTATGGTACTCCCTACAGATGGCAAAACCTTCATGAAGTCATTGACAAAGGTCATTCTTTTGGTTGTTAACATGTTCCTACCAGCTTAAACCTCTGATGGTTCAAGCCATCTAATGAGATACACAAATATGGCTCCATCATGAATATGCTAAAACAGATTTTGGAAAAGGAACAATCTTGTATTCAACTTAAGGGTTTCAACGACCGAATCAAATACAGAAACTTTAACTCAAAGGAAAGCCGCTGAAAGAAGCTGATAAAAATAAAAATCAGGCCTACTTGTCTTAACCTGTTCTACTTTGCTTTCCATCTATTTGAATCAGTTTAGTTTACAACTTACCTTGTTCTTTCATTGATGATTGTAATATGGTAAGTCTGTCTTATTTTATTTTTAATCTTTTATTTATATGGTACAGGGTATTGCTACACAACTCAGACTCATAGTGATCCTGACTCAGTCCTCCTCAGCACTGGGATTACAGGCATGTGCCACCATGCCTGCTTTTGGTGGCCAGCACAGAATATGGTACTGGGGATCGAACCCAGAACCCAAGTCCCTGCATTTGCCAGGCAGGCACTTAGACCACCAGGCTATCTCCTGGACCCTAAGTCTGTCTTATTTTTAAATTAATTCTATACATTTTAATATCCTGATATTGGGTACTTTGGCTGATAAGACCTCTACTATTTGTACTTCCATTTATAAGTTAGATGAAAATCATATAGATTTTAACACTATACTCTGCATCATTTTATAGTTCCATTATTTTTAAGACACATTAAACAAAATTTAGCACTGATCAAAAATGACTAAAATGTAAAAAAAAAAAAAATTCTCTGAAACAAAAGATTAAAGATATGTCCACTCAGGAAGGATTTCATTTTATAAGTCTAGAGGCCTTTGGTAATGAAGTGCTGATTCTTAATTTCTTTTTATATAAGAACACTTATAGGTCTTTCTATTCTATTTTTTGGTCAACAGATAACTGAATTATTGAAGCTTGTATTTTTTTATATTAACACATGCTTGTTTACTATATTCAGAATATAGAAATTATTTCTTCAGTGTCTTTGTTGCAGCTAACAACCATATAAGGGACAGAGGATCCAACTCAGAGATACAAACATGCTATCCATTCAGAGCATCCCTAAGGACTCACAATATATCAAAACTAGCATCCTTAAATTCTGTGCTTCCAAATTTTGTGTTTTAGGTAACCGGCAAGAGCTGAACAAATGTTTTATAAACACTTATATTGGTATAAGAAATGTGATTTGATATTGTCATAAAAGTTTTGGCAATAAGGTTTGAAGTCTACATTATGTACTAGTTGATAAGGAAACAGTTCAAACTATGAAATAAATCAATGCGTATACACTTTATTTCCAGCCAAAATTTTACAGAAGACCAACAAATTAAGTGGGGACAAACTATTCATTCACATTTGAGAAATTACATGGTTTCAGTTTAGGTTTTGAGAAAGTAGCTTGTTGCTGAAACATCACACTTTAACCTGGAACTACTTTGAGGTGTTTTTAAGTGTATCCTAACAGGGTTGACAGGAAAAAATACAATGTCATGGAATACACAACTGGTGACCACAGTGCAGACTCAGGTTGAATAGGTAACTTTCATCTGTTTTCCCCAGATAATGAAAAATATTAATCATCATCACATAAATGCTCAGAATAATTGAGTAACAGTTAAAAATGACCAAGACCCAAACAGGTACTTATAGCATATTTACCTATAAAGTAGTGACAACACTAAAAAACACATTGAAAACCAGTGTCTTAAACTTCAAATATGGGATTTAAAAAGATTCCATTAACTTGCAATTGCAGTAATTTTTTAACCAAATATTATTTGACTGGCAATTCTGATATAATTTACAGTTGTAATATTCCTAAAGGAATAGTTACATACTATGGCCTATCAAATATAATCTGCATTTTGAAAAATCAATACAAAAATTTTTCCATCATTGCTAAATCTTTTACATTTTTTAAAATTAATTTTATTGCAAAGTGAATTTAGAATTCAAATTAAATTTGGAAACCTAATGTAATGGTCTTCCCATCCACATAAATTTTTTGGAAACACTGGAAGTAAATGATTATTAAAATACGAATGCAATGTAAGGCATTGTAGAACAAAAACTAATTAGGTGCCATTTGGCATTTTATCTCAAAATCATATTTTGTCCCCCTTTCCTCACTAGCAAGAAACTAGAACACAAATTTGTTTTTCATAAATATGACTACAGTAATCAGAACACAAAAAAGGGTTGATAGGCATTGCTTAAAACAAGGATAAGACTTTTCCACTCACCTACAAGAAAAATATTTTTACCAGTTTATAAACATCAAATTTGCTGGTCAATGTTAAAAGATCCAGCACAAGAGTTAATTCAGAAACACTTGAGAATGAATATAAATACACATGTATACATGTATGTATATATATATTCATTTTATATACAGTCAATATATTTCATAGGCATTCTCCCACAAAAGTAATTCATACTTAATTGCCAGTCAATACACACTTGTTCACAGATAATCCATTTGTCTTAAGTGAAGTTAGGCAATATCATATGTTCTGTTATGGTCTCCATCTTCTTCAGAATCATCCTCGGAAGCTGTTGAAAGAAAACAGAATAATAAAGAATGATCCTGAGGAGGATGAGGATGGGACATGTAACTATGAAGACAGAACAGTATGATTTTAACAACAACAAAATCGCAACTTATTATACTGTTCCATCAAAATGATAAGCTATTATGACAGGGTTAGAATGGTTTGACTGTGGGTGATACCCATCTACAATGCCCCTATGCCCCCAAAATCTTTCTGTGATGTTATATAGTTTTTATAAAAATGACAATGCTAGAAGAATATATGCAGTGTATTATTTGCTGAAACTGTACTTCCAATTTGATTTGAAACTGTCTCATTGCTATCTGTTTATCAATAAAATTTTGGAAAAAAAAATAAAATTTATATTGGCATAAAAAAAAATGACAATGCTTTAAAATGTTGGATCAAGAGCTATAAACACCAGAGGAAAAGTGAATTTAAGGCAGTTCCTCTCACACACCTGAGTACAACCTGGCTTACTACTGCTGCATGTCTGATGCATTCCAAGATGAAAAAATCTACACAGAATAACAGGTTATGGATGTTCTTGTAATTTATAGCAAACCTATGTGTGTAAAATGCCAAGAAACAGCCCTATTTTGTAAGTCAAAGAAGCTTTATATAAAGTTAAAATAACTGTATTTAATAAGGAACTACAGTACCACTAACATTATTCCCATGTTTCCAAACTGTCAGAAATTTAGCACTTTTACAACATTTATGATCTAAATTTATTAAAGAGTCATTAATAGCTCAACATTCTAGTAAAGCAAACTAGAATGTCTTTAGGTAGGGCATATTAACAAAAGGTTTTCTCTTCTGAAAACTGTTTTACATGTGAAAGAAAAAGAAAAACTCACTGAAAACATATGACCAGCATCTCTGCTATTATTAAAAGCAGAAAGATGAAATATACTCTTAATTCATTAATATTAGACAACTGAGGAGCAACTGGCAGAGAACCAACTGGGAGCAAATCACAGGAAAAGTATACCATATTCACATATAAAACCCACTGCTAATAAAACAGTATCAAGTATGTACTGTAGCTTAAAAGTGAGATAACACCTAAGGGTAAGTGTAGTATCATAGAAAAATATCAAGCTAAATTACAATACAAGGAAACTTAAAATTTTATACTTAATTCCATGTGAGAATAAAATTGGGTTCAACTTACTCTGCAGAATATTTCACTGTGTGGGTACTTACAGAGTTAATCTGTAGCACCCAAATCTTTCAGTTAAATAACTTTAGGTTGTTTACTTCCATCATTTCCTTATTTATCAGAGGTTAGAAAAAGATACTGTTATATTTAAAAAACTATGATCTATATGAGGTTAGTTTTTTAAGAGTGACAGATCTGGGGAAGATACTATATAGTAAAATTATATCTGACAAAACATAGTCATTAAAAAAATAAAACTATAAAGAATTTGAACTAAAGAAGGGAAAAATATTGCACTGAATGAATTCCCACTAATTCTTTTATACCCACTAAAGCTAACACTCCAAGTATTTTGCAGATGAGTATATCAACTCAAGATGGTATATTTTAAAACATTTCAAAGAGTATACTGTAAATAGGGAGCATGTGGCTTTGATGAAAAAGTACAGTAAGTAGAAGTTGAGTTGGAGAGTCACCGATATCTGTGTGCCCACGTGGGTGAAGCACCATGGAAGTGTTGCAAGGCTTTGAAAGATGGAAAACCATGCAAATAGCTGTAAACATTTGGGACATACATTCACCTAAGAGCCTATATAAAAATCCTAATGCTAGAATATGATCTCAAGAGATTAAAGTTACCACCAACTTATTAAAGGTCCACAAGGACCTGAGCAAGGGACAAAGACAAAAGCATGTGGCTTCTGTTACAGATTTGTAATCGGAACTTTTCCTGGAACCATGTATAAGCCCAAATAAAATCTTTTTATGGTCTAACAAAGCTGAATAACAGGCTGGTGAGATGGCTCAGTAGTCTAAAGCACCTACTTAGAACAAGCTTAGCAAAGCACGGGGACCGCGGTTCAATCCCCCAGCACCACATGCCAGCCAGCCCTGCCCCCTGGTGGGCTGAGCTGGCCACACACACACACACACACACACAAATAAATAAAATTTAAAAAAAAAAACAAAGCTGAATAACAAGTAAAAATTCCTTAAACAAAAAGATACAGTTGATTAGCAAATTTGTGTTCATTTTTATTACAAGTGCTAAAATCAAAGTGATCAAAGTAAGTTTTGACTGAAATATAAATACTTGCAGTTAAAATTTCATCCTTTCATAAACCTTAAATACAATTTTTTTAAAGTATGGTGTTGAAAAATTGGGGTCAATTGCTCAACCCACATTTCCCAAATCAATCCTTTTATTATTATTAAGCCTATAAATGAAGCTCTAATTTGGCAAAAAAAGAAAAAAAAATATATATATATATACTTAGATTTTGATCTCTGGGCTTAATTTCAAAGGAAAATTCAACAAGTGTGGGGAGGGGAAATTCCACCTACTTTCGAGATCTTCCATATGTGCCTGAAGAGTTCTTGCAAGGTTAATAAACTAGAAACAATGCAGAAAGAAATACAGTAGTTTAAATGTTGCAAATGGATCTGGAGAGAATCAGTATAGGAGATTCATTTCTAACTTAA